CTGGCTGTCCAGCTGAAGGAGACTATCAAGGTCCACAGGGGGAGCTGCAGAGGCCACATTCCATGTCACGACATGTATGCTGTGGGAGGGATAAAGAGTGGTCGTGGAGAAAGGAGGACGGCACACGCACAGGTACCAGAAGGGCATGCAGGCCTGCTCACAGACACGCCACCGTCCACTAGTCATAGTGAGAAACAGGATTCCTGCCTCTGGTGGTGGGGATCGGGGCCCTCCATCGCCACCTGTGCTCCCTGAAGCGGGAAATTCCCACCCTGGCCTGGCTCCTCCACGCAGGCCCACCGCTGCCCACATCTGGCAGCTCTGGTGCTGCTGACATGAGGAGAGCTGAAGGGGTAGGCGGTCGGGAATTTATTAGTAACTTTACCAACTATTCACCCTGCAGCAATCATCTGAGGCTCAGTCAGCAGCTTTCCAGTCTCCCGTCTTTAATCCAGTTCCTGAGACCACCAAAAAGATTCTGGAGGCTGTTTTCACCTTGTGTGAGGCCTCAGCACCAGACAGGGAAACTTAAAAAACAACAGGGATAACGCCATGTTCCCTTCCTCACTCCTTCCTACGGCTGTGATGCCTGGAGCAAAATTACTTCTGCCGGCACTTAAGCAAGCCTAAGGAGCCTAGCTTGTTTGGCTCAGTGGATAGATAGGATCGGCTTGGAGACTGAAAGGTACGTGGTTCAATTCCAGTCAAGGGCACATATCGGGTTTTTGGGCTCGATTCCCAGTGGGGGACATGCAGGAGGTAGCCAATCAATGATTCTCTCTCCCCCCCTCTCCTTTCTGCTCTGAAATTAGTTAAAAAAAAAAAAAAAAAAAAAAAAAAGCCTAAGGAGAAGATTCCAAATAACAGCTTTTTCAGCACCTCCAAAGTCTACTGTCTTTTGGGAAAAGGGACCAGGTGGATTCTCCATCTCGGCTTCATCTGAGTCCCAGGGAAACAACAGCACAGCAGCTCTCAGGGGCAGGAGGGACTCCAAGGAAGCCGCAGGTGGTGCTGAGTCCAGAGCGGGCAGTGGCTACTTAGCACAAACCCCGTGGAGAGCAAGGACAGCCACCCAGCCTCTAGTGAGTCCTAGGTCCATCCCCGAGGACCTGCCCAGCTGGTCTAGAATGGGAGAACGCTACACAAGGGTAGGCTTCTCCGCCAGCCCCCGTTCTCAGAGGTTCATGTTCTAAAACGCACTTGAGTAAATTCTTGGCCAGCTGAAACAACTTCCTGCCCCTTCCCTTGAACATCAACAAAACAAAAACCCTCTTCCCAGGCCCGAGAAGCTGTGGTTCCTTTGTTTGTTTGCGATCTCCCCCTGCTGTCCGACAGGGGATTAAGAAAGGCAGCCCTTTCATTCCAAGGCTCCGTGTTTTCCCACGGACCTGATCTCAGTGAGTGGGGAGCTCAAGTGGGGATTTCTTGCCCTAATTCCCAAGTCCCACGATCAGCAGCAAATCCCTGCACCGTGACCTGCACTAAGTAAGCTGGTGATTAGCGCTGTTGTTCCTCCTTGAAGAGCAAGCATGGGACCAGGCGACAGGACCTTAACTACATTTGTTTTCCGATTTTAGGAGGTCACCACGGGATCAGGCCGATTAAAAGAAAGAACAAGTTTCTACTCTAGAGCTGAGGAGAGCCTTGTTACGTCTTTAAGTTCAAACCGCCCCCCCCCCCCCCCCCGGCGCCTTCTCCAGAAGCCAGCCGGGCACCTTCATGGGGCGCCGGGTGGGAAAAGCCCGGCGCCGGCGTGTGCAGGGGGCGTGGGGCCGGACTCACAGCCCGGGGACACCGGGATGAGGTGCGAGCGGCCGGTCCCCTCTGCCCCAGGCCGTTTCTGCCCCGGCTCCGCAGCCCCATGGGGTCGGAAGCAGCGGCGATCGGCTCGGCGGAGGCCTCCCTCACCTGAGCTTCCTGTCTCTCGGTTCGGCTGGCTTCAGGGGGCTCACAGGCTCCATCGTGCCCCGCGGAGAGCCGGCCGCTCTCGCCCGGCGGGTCCCGGGCCGGTCAGCGCTCGGGGGCCGCGGTCCGCCGGTGCGGGCAGCCGGACTGTTTTCTTCCGGGTTTGGACTACGCCTCGGCCCCCGTAAGAGGCGGGGCCTGGGCGCCGGGCTCGGGGCGGGGCGGCGGGGCGGGGCGGCGCTCCCAGCGGCGCGGAAAGGTGAGGCTGGAGGACGGAGCTTAGGGGCGGGGACGCGAGGGGCGTGTCCTGGCGTTGGAGAACCCGACGTCATACTGCCCGCTCGCCCGCGTGGGCGTCGCCGCCGCCTTTGGCCCCTCCCCCGGCCCCCAGAGTGCCCCGCGCCAGGCCCGCCGGGAGGGGCCTCTTCCGGGGAGGTCTCGCCACGCCCGCTGAGCGGCTCCGGACCCAGCGGGTCCCACCGATACTGAGTCTGTAACCTCTGCGCTGCCCCATCCCCGCCCCGCCCCGCCCCACGCCCAGAGGCCCCAAGAGGCTGCTGCCTGCTGTGCTGCCTGTAATCCAGTCCCCCCCTCTTCAGGGCCCCCCACCCCCACCCCCAACTCCAGGTGATCTCTCAGGGAGTCTTTGGGCTCCTCCATTCTTAGCTCTCCACGCCGGTTAAATTGTGCTTCGTTTTTCGCTCCATTCGATTACCTACTACACATTGGACATTTGGGGGTTCTTGGACTCTTAGAAAAGTAGCTATCAAGGAAGGAGGAAACACAAGTCACCGCCTCTATTTAACCAAACGAGGAATGATTATTTACTTTGTCAAAGATTAACTGATTATTTTAAAATCATTGGATCTGATGAGAGCCCTAACTTCACTGAGAAAAATTCAGTTTTACAAAAAAAGCTTCATGAGGGTCACAGACCCGGAAGCAGTTAAGAATTATTTTAAATATATGTGTTGTTTGGTAGGATGGGGAAAAGAGATGTGAAGAAGGGATATAAAAGCAAAAATAACTGCCAGTAGGAAATAGCCAAATTACTTTCAGATATGTGATGTTCGAGCAAGTAAAATAACAAGGGGGTGGTTTAATTTATTGAAGTACACCTGCAAAAGTTTTCAGAGATACCTAGTACCTTTCCTAATCCTTCCCTGGCAAAACGGGTGACATCAGCAAGTTTGCAGATATGTAAGTTGTAAACGGACATAAAAACATCACCAATAAGTTCGACTCCGTGAAGCTCTGTCTAGGATTTTATTAGACTGCTTCCCCCCCCAATATACCTGTATTGGAAGATTGAGACAAAAAGGCACAAACTCACATTAAATAAAGTAATCTAATCAAGTCTACAAAGTGTATTTTGTAAAAGAAGTAGCACTAGAAACCAACCAAAATAAGTCAGGGAGTCCCAGTAGGGACTGTAAGAGAACTTGGGAAGATACACGCCTGCCCACAATACTGACCTGTCCCTGACCTCTCTCTGAAGGCCAGAGCCCAGCTCTCCCAGAGGCACTGCTGCTTCCAGCCGGGACGTGACCCCGGAAATCCAAGGGAAAGGAGGCAGCTGCCCTGCAGGGGCGCGGCACATCCTCAGGCACTGCCGTGGAGCGGAGTCTCTCATGTAAGCCCCTCTGAGTACCAGCCAGTTTGGGGATGTGAAGAGGGAAGGGGGATTCTTAAAAGAAGACTACACTGTTGCCCAGCAGCAACACTATCTGTGAGGATGGAATAGATGGAGAAATCCCTCCTTATGCTTATATGGGCTGCAGCCCCAGACCTGACTGACTCCAGGAAGTTCTAGCTCAGCTCATTTGGAGGCTTTCATACTGGGGCAACAGGGGAAGGTGGCCGGACCCAGAGAGAAGGCAGATGGAGAGTGAGCCCCCACCACAGCTGGGGTGATATGTGTGAATCTCAGAGAAGAGCTGAAGGAAGAAGTCTAACATCTGACCCTCAAACCACCTACACAACTGTTTAGAATGTTACCAGTTGTGCCGAAACCGGTTTGGCTCAATGGATAGAGCGTTGGCTTGGGGACTGAAAGGTCCCGGGTTCGATTCCGGTCCAGGGCATGTACCTTGGTTGCGGGCACGTCCCCAGTAGGGGGTGTGCAAGAGGCAGCTGATCGATGACTCTCTCATTGATGTTTCTAACTATCTCTCTCCCTTCCTCTCTGTACAAAGTCAATAAAATATATTAAAAAAAAAGAAAAGAAAAAAAGAAAAAAAGAATGTTACCAGTTGTTTCTCCCAGGATAACCCACATCTGGACTCACTTGGTTGATGAAGAAGCTGAGAATGTTCAGCACAAATACAATTGTAGCTAATGCAGTGCTTGTAGGAAAACATTCACATTTTTCTCCAACAGGAACGCCTCTTCAATTTTTCCAGTCAAGATAAATGCTACTAGCAGTTGGGATGCTAATAACCAACTGACCTGTACACCAAGCCCCTTGCTGCTATGGACCCCACAGGGAGAGGACACTAAGAGGGAGGTGAACAGGCCTCGGTGAAGGTCAGAGCTAACCGCTCTGAGGAGTCTGAGTCTGTCCACCTTTGCCCCAGGAGGGCCGCAGGGCGGCCTCCTTCAGGATGTCACAGGCGCGGTCCTGTGAGAGACTCCCTTATTGCACTCAGAAATAAGGCAAAACTAACAAAAATTTGAGGATAAGTTTTCCCGCCCCGCTTCTCCCCCAACGGAGATTTGGTTTCTCTCAGTAGCAGCTGTGCCCAGGCTAACATGGGCTTGGATCACTATACACTTGGCCAACATGACTTGACAGGGGTTGGGAAGTGTTAGGTGACGCCACAGCTATCTCAGACTCTCCCATGGAGAAGGCAGACCCAGGTTCTGCCAAGTTGTAGGAACGTCTGAGGCGCTCAGTGGCTTTTGTTCCCTGGAGCCTGGACACTCTCACTGGCCTACTTTGGTAGAGTTCTGTACTGTGGTCACTACTTCTGATTGTCCAGGACAGAACTCAGCGTGGGGGCAGGATGAACTGAGTTCTTGATTCCCAAATCCTTTCCAGCAACTGGAGACAAGAGGGAACACGATCTGCTGGGAAGAAGCTGTTTGCATGCTCGTTTTGTGCAGCATGAAAAGATCAGGACTTTTGTGTCCTGACCAGCCTCAAAGACAGAGGACAAGAATCTGAGAAAGCACAGAGAAAAGGATTATTGCTGAGTGACAGCACCAGCCCAAATGGGAACAGGAGCATGGACATACAGAGCTCCTCGGGGGGCACGCTAATCAGTATCTATAGGGCAGGCTCAATTCTAAGGGTCACACTGGACAGGCCCCTCCAGGAGGAGAGCTGGCCCTGGCATATGGACTCTGCAGAGACAAAGACAGAGAGGGCAACAGGAGGGCTCAGAACCCATAGGTACGTCTAAGACTAGTGACCAGAGGTGCAGTGCCTGGGGCAGGGGTTGTTTCTATTTGTTAAATTTTCCAAGCAGAGGCTGGCTGGCCTTGGGTACGTCTTTGGTGCTTAGAGCACTCTAACAGTGGGTTGCTGGGAGCAGAGGTCAGAGCTCTGAAGCTACATTGCTGTTCTGTGGAACTAGGGGGAAAACTATTTCTGACTCATCCTCGTCCCCTCTCCCCAGGTGAGCACTCAAAATTGCAAAGATCTGTTCAGGAAGCAAAATACTTCAGTTTATCCCAAGGCTGAAAACAAACAAACTTAAATCGATTAAATCACCACATCACAAAAGGCAGCTATTTTGAAAGACTAACAATGTCACTTGAAAATAAAGTGGGGGCACACAGAAATGGGTTGAGAACACAATGGCTGGAGAGGGAGGAGCTGTAAATACAGTCACCTCCACGCCACATATCTCAGAGGAGCAGGCTCCTGCACACAGGGGCTTCATAATACCAGAGGGTCTATTTGTTCACAATATTAAAGGGCATCTAGGATTAGCTACAGTAAGGGACTGAGAGTTGCCTGAAGAATGGGCACAGAAAGGCTGCGTCCGAAGATGGCCTGTCACTCGGGAGGGTGGAGCTGCTGGGCCTTCCTGTTGACCACTGTCTTGCAAACTGGAAGAGAAAAACAATTATTAAGGAAGCAACAAAGGAAAACAAAAACACTGTAAATCATTGATTGGGGAATTTCAAAAGGAAGAAGGATGCCAGTTGGTGTGGGGTGAAAGGGAGAGACAGAAGTAAGGTTCAAGCAGTGACTGAGAAGCGGACATTGTAACAATCCACTTAATCCTACTCTTATCTCCCAGTTCTCAAACTGACAGGTGCCAGGGAGAGAGGTGTGATCTGCCCGAATCCCTCCCACCCCTGGCCTCCTAGTGATAGGGGACAGTCAGTTTTTATTTGATAAAATGATCTCTTAGAGACTGATGGAGAACAAGGCCAGGTTTTTTTTTGTGTGTGTGTGTGTGTGTGGTTTTTTAAAAAAATAAAATTTTTTATTGATTTCAGAGAGGAAGAGACAGAAATATCAATGATGAGAGAGAATCATTGATCTGCTGCCTCCTGCAAAACCCCTACTGGGGAGTGAGCCCAAAACCCAGGCATGTGTCCTGACCGGAATCAAACCCGGGACCCTCCAGTCCACAGTGCGATGTTCTATCCACTGAGCAAAACCAGCCAGGGCTATTGGTATTTTTAATGTATATATATTCATTGTTTTCAGAGAGGAAGGGGGAGGGAGAGATAGAAACATCAATGTTGAGAGAAAATCATTGACTGGCTGCCTCCTATACGACCCCTACTGGGATGGAGCCCAAAACCTGGGCATGCACCCTGAGCAAGAATCAAGAAACTGTGACCTCCTGGTTCATGGGTTAGTCAGGTTCTTTCATTCCATGACCAAGCCCACTGAGCTGCTGGAAAAACAGGTCTGGAGGTGTGTAGGGCACTGGGAGCAATTAGAAGGAAGGGAATTAGGGGAGAGTAACAATATGAAATAAGGGACATCCCATTCTGGTCCTACGACTTGGGCAGAAATATCTCTAAGCTTCTGAAAGATGCTACCTCTGATTAGGACAGCTACTTAGTGTGGGATCAGGGGATATAAGGAGGAAGGAAATTAAGCATCATACACAACAGACTTTCGGGTGCGTTGGGCAAGGGATGCTATCAGTTGGGAGTTAGGAACTGCTCTGGCACTGGGTGAGGGTGGGGGGTAAAGAGAATGCCCTAGAATGCCAGCTTCAACGTGAAATGGCTCCAGTTAGAGGAGAGGAAGAGTAATTAGTTGCAGAGAATCTTCCATTCTGCACCCACCGCCCCCATCCCACCTGTCTCACTACCCTGTATATGTCTCTTTCTGGAGAGTTCTTTGGCCCCTGAAATGTACTAACAATCATAATTTCTGCCAGTGGAAGTCCAAAAGCATGACAAGCCTGTGGCAGTCATCGTGCTTCCTGGAGAGTAGGATGAGGAATGAAGTGGGTTTCCTGACGGACAGTGAGCGCTGAGGCCGTGGGGACCCAAACTGACGCTAGCACCTGTGGCATGCACAGTGGGAAACGGTACATACAGTGCAGAAGGGAGTGGAGGGGCTTTAGTCATCTGCTGTCATTCCTTTCACTGGGTCCCTTTGTCTCATCTGAAACAGAAAAAGAAAAAGAAAAAATTTGAAGCCTCTTGCTGCTGATGGAACTCCATCACAAACACATCTTGCTAATAGAGTCAATCAGAAGAATAGAGTTCTGCATACATAGAGCCAAAGCTAACGCATGTTATTATTTCTTTGTTCCAAATGCTGTTCTGTAGCATTTGTACATACACAAGCTCTGAAGAATCTGGACTTTTAAGCTACAGCCCTCCTCAGAGTTACGTTTTATTCACCAAAACTCTAATATCGACACATTTTGCAGGGATTCTACCCCCGTAGCGGTAGTTCTCCACTGGGAAACATCCTCAGAATACATTTCTTGCCACATTTCAAACCCATGTGTACACACACACACACACACACACACACACACGCACACTACATATGTCCATGTGGAACATGGGTATGGTAAAAAACCATTCTCCTGGTCCTTCCCAATGTAGGTAAGTTTCCTCAAACATGATAAAAATAATTGCCTGGCCGAAACCGGTTTGGCTCAGCGGTAGAGCGTTGGTCTGCGGACTGAAAGGTCCCAGGTTCGATTCGGTCAAGGGCATGTACATTGGTTGCGGGCACATCCCCAGTAGGGGGTGTGCAAGAGGCAGCTGGTCAATGTTTCTCTCTCATCGATGTTTCTAGCTCTCTATCTCTGTAAGAAAATCAATAAAATATATTTAAAAATAATAAAAATAAAATCTTTAAAAAAATCAATAAAATATATCTAAAAAAAAAAAATAATTGCCTGGGTTACTTATATGTAGATTATTGGGTCCCAGACCTGATAAATCAGAATCTATAGGAGAGGGACCATAGTGAGTCATAAAATCAATCAATCTGAGAAGCCTCACTTCTCATATCCCACAGACAAGATCCTCTGCTCAGAACAGGAAAATCTATTTTCAGACACATCTATGAGTAGGTTCGTAGCTATACCTAGAAAACCTGTTTTCTGTAGATTTTGCTCAAAACTCACTTTCTTGAATTGTATCTTTAAATTATTATTGTTTCTATAACTGTCTAAAATTAACACCTGTTACTGTACTACTTAAGGGTTCAACGAATTCAAGAGTTTCCAACATGACAGATCTGTGAAGGATTAGGGCACTGTCATATTTTTAAAAAGACAAAAACTTACCCTATGGGATGGGTAGGAATTGGGGGTATTTTGTATGAGCATAATATGTAAGGTAGATATAGAAGTAAAGATAAATATAACAGTTCCCCAGCTCTGTCCTATGGGAAGGCCTGGGAGCACCAACACCTGTAGTAATGAGCACACCTAGCAGCCACACACCTCCCTCCCCTGAAAGGAACCAGGGTTCCTCGGAGAGATGGCTGATTCTAGGGTTGAGCCATGGAAAGAACAAGACCAGCCTAGGACACCCTGTTGTGCTTCAGGCGAACAAAGGTAAGTAACCCCACCAATAACTAGACAGGAGGATAGAATACGATGAAAAGAACACAGAATCTTTGACATTCTGGCCTAAAATATATAAACTGGGTCTAATCATGCAGAATCACTGGATAAAACCAAATTGCTCTCAATTCATTCACAAAATGACTAGCCTCTAACACTAAAAAGTATTAAGGTCATGGCTGTCTAGGAAAAACTGAGGAGTACCACTAGGTGAGAGACTAGAAGGCTGCAGTGTGTGGTCCTGGGCTGTAGCCTTTGCTTTTAAGCAGGGGTGGCCCTTTTTCTGCCGAGGGCCATTTGGATGTTTATAGTATCATTCGCAGGCCATACAAAATTATCAACTTAAAAACAAGCCTGGCCGCTGTGGCTCAGTGGTTGAGCATGAACTGAGAGGTCACCGGTTTGGTTCCCAGTCAGGGCACATGCCAGGGTTGTGGGCTCGATCCTCAGTGGGGGAGCATGCAGGAGGCAGCCAACTGATGTTTCTCGCTTAGCAATGTTTCTATTTCTCCAACCCTCTTCCTTTCTCACTCTCTAAAATTAAAATTAAAATCAATGAAAACATTAAAAAAATGAGCCTGCTATATTTGGTCAAACATCTTAACTCATTGTTAATACCTTGCCAGGGCAAGACCACATGATTTCATGGGCCTAATATGACCAGATGTTCCCACTCCTGCTTTAAAGGAATGGAGGCTTGCCGAAACCGGTTTGGCTCAATGGATAGAGTGTCGGCTTGGGGACTGAAGGGACTCGGGTTCGATTCCGGTCAAGGGCATGTGCCTTGGTTGCGGGCATATCCCCAGTAAGGGGTGTGCAATAGGCAGCTGGTCGATGATTCTCTCTCATTGATGTTTCTACAATAGCTCTCTATCTCGCTCCCTTCCTCTCTGTACAAAATCAATAAAATATATTTTTAAAAAATAAAGGAATGGAGTCTTTGGATAAAGAAGTATTGTATTCTTGCCATTTTCTAGAAGTCTGAAATTATTTAAAAAGTTTAAAAAAACCAAAAATGTGGCCTGGCCAGCATGCTCAGTGGTTACCGTATTTTTCGGACCATAAGACGCACTGGACCATAAGACGCACCAGTTTTTAGAGAAGGGAAATGAAGAAAAAAAGATTCTGAAACAAATAGTGTCCTAAAATATTTTATGTGCATTAAAACCCAACATCACAGTCATAAACATATGTAATCAACCCTGTAAAGTAAACAGCAGCATTTAGAACCATTTTAGAGCCGGGCAAGCACACAGAGACCACACAGAGCCGGGCAAGTAAAAAAACTTTTTTTAAAAAGTATATGTGTAGGCTATATTTGGACCATAAGACACAGGGACTTTTCCCCCCCACTTCTGGGGGGAAAAAAGTGCGTCTTATGGTCCGAAAAATACGGTAAGTATTGACCTATGAACCAGGAGGTCACAGTTTGATTCTAGTCAGGGCACATGCCCGGGTTGTGAGCTTAATCCTCAGTATAGGGCATGCAGGAGGCAGCCAATCAATGGTACTCTCTTATCATTGATGTTTCGATCTCTCCTTCTCCTTTCCACTCTGAAATCAATAAATAAAACAAAAACATGCTTATTAAATGTCAGCTCATTAAAGATCACATATATTTTCAATAATCAGAGAGATACGTAATTTATCATGGGAGCAAAGTCCCTTGGGCCTCACCTAGGTCCCTGTATAGCCTGAAAGTTCAATGCTAACACAAAGCCAGGCCCTGTTTTCCTACTGCTTGAAATAAGGAGGGAGGGAGGGGGGCAAAAAAAAAATCAATAAAATAAAAAAATAAAAAAAGAAATAAGATGCAACTTCCCATCAGGGAACCTGATAGTTTCCCCTACTCTCAGAGACAAGGTGCCCCAGCAGGGTGCCACTGCAATAAAAGTGCATTATTTCATTCTTACTAGAGGACCAGTGCACTACATTCGTGCACTAGGGGTGTCCAGCCCGGCCTACGCCCTCTCGCAGTCTGGGACCGCTTGGGGGATGTCTGTCTGCTGGCTTAGCTGGCAGTCAGACATCCCTCTCGCAGTCCGGGGATCTTGCAGCCCAGGACCCCTGGCTCCTCACCGCCAGCTTCCACTGCCTGCCGCTGCCACAGCACTCGTCAGCCATGAGCCCAGCTTTTGGCTGAGCATTGCTCCACCTGTGGAGTGCACTGAGCGTCTGCCCCCTGGTGGTCAATGCATCATCATAGTGATTGGTCATAATGGTCACTTAGGCCTTTATATGCCTTAAGAATGCTTATTTTGTGTTTCCTAGGGCCTAAGTGACATGAGAGATTTTAAAAAATATATATATATATTATTGATTTTTTACAGAGAGGAAGGGAGAGGGATAGAGAGTTAGAAACATTAATAAGAGAGAAACATTGATCAGCTGCTTCCTGCACACCCCTATTGGGGATGTGCTCGCAACCAAGGTACATGGCCTTGACCAGAATCGAACCCAGGACCCTTGAGTCTGTTGGCTGACGCTCTATCCACTGAGCCAAACCAGTTAGGGCGACATGAGAGATTTTATCTGAAGTTTGTAGTATTCCTTGGATCAAGCCACTGTACTACACACACACACACACACACACACACACACACACACACAGAGTTGAGAAACATGAAAATAGAAACTTCTACTTGTTCCCTCCCCCCCCTTTACAGTGGTTTACTTTAGGAATGAAGCCAGGGGTTGGAGGAAAGGGACTTTATTTTATTTACTTATATGAACTTCTATTTTTTTTTTTTTTGAACTTGTATTTTTAAATATTTTCTAGATCTTTTGAAAATTGCTTTAAACATTATGAAACATTCTTTTGACCTAAAAAAAATAATAACATTTTTGTGATGTTGCACTATAGTTTTGCAAGATACTGCCATTGGAAGAAACAGAATTCTCTTATTTCTTATAACTGGCATGAGAATATTACACTTATATCAAAATAAAAAGTTGTTAAAAAACAAAGCTAGTTTAAAAAACACACATGTCAGTTTAAGAGACTGAAAAGTAACCACGAGCCAGTTAGCATTCCCGAAGGAACACAGATATGAGGCACATGTGAAATTGTTTTTAGAACCTATTTAGAAAGTCTCCCTATAAATAGATTCAGCCCTTTGGGAAAGCAAGTTGACAATAAATAGCAAGAGTCTTAGATTCTGTAATTCCATTTGTAGGAATTTATTCTGAGGAAATAATCTTAATTACAAAAAAAAAAAAAAAGCACAAAAATGTTCATCCCAGCATTATTCACAACATGAGAACCTGTAAACAACATGAAGGAAAATCCAACACAGGAACAGAGTAACATGTATGTTGTAGTCAGAAGGATGTATGTTAACAAGTTTTTTTAATGGAAAAATGCTTCGTTATAATGTTCAGAAAAAAAGCTAAGATAACCCCCAGGCACATGCAATACAATCATGGCTAAATAAGTGTGTAGAAATCCCTAAGCTGGTAGCTTGGTTGGCATGTCATCCCAATACACCAAGGTTGTGAGTTCAATCCCTAGTCAGGGCACATACAAGAATCAACCAATGTATGCACAAATAAATGGAACAACAAACTGATCTAA